GGAGCAGGGAGCCCAATGCGGGACTCGATCCCAGGACCCTGGGGTCATGACCTGAGCCGAAGGCAGACGCTCAACCGACTGAGCCACCCAGGCGCCCAGAGACGGATTGATTTTAATAACCGCATATAATCGAACAGGAAACCAAGGCCTGTATATTACCCGGCACGAACACAAGTCCATCAGAAGAGAACCCTGTCTTCACAGCAGTGAGAGATGTGCTGGACAGGGATCTTGGGGGACAGCCTCAGTACAGGGCCTGGGGGTGCTCCTTGCTGAGGGAGTGGGGGTGCAAGTGCTAAGCTATGAGAGGCACGGGAGATGCCAAATGCAAACTCCCCAACTTCACCTCTGATGTGCGCTCACAAACCTGGCCTCTTGTCCTGTTCTTTTCCCCCAGAGTGTGAAAAGATCAACAGACATGAATTCAGAGCTGGTCTGGGCCAGGGCTGGGAGGTGGGGAGCAGACAGGACGTGGTCCCTCAGCTGGTCTCCTAAGGAGCACTAGCCTACGGGTCTCAGCTCCTGGCCCTCTGGCTTACAGTCTCCTTTTCCTGAAGGCCCTGGGCTTGGTCATCTCTACCATCCTGTTCAGCTCAGAGGGCCTTGTCTCCCTGAGCGGATGCCCTGGAGGCCAACAGATTAATTTTCCAGCTGGGCTTCTCAGCCTCAGCCTGGCCGGGCAGGGTTTGGGCAGGGAGGGGCAGGATCTGGCCTGGCTTTCCCTTTTCACAAGAGCCCCCAGAGAGGCCCAGAGTCAATGCCGTAGCACAGGACCAAGCCTTAGACCAGACAGTAGTCCATGCCCTGTGTGTGATGGGAGCCACGGAACCTGGGCCCACGAGGGCCCCTCAGCCATCTGCACAACACTACGGAATACCTGTACTCTATGCCTAGATAGATGGACACATCTGGATGCAGGCAGGAGTGTGCCTGTGTGGACGCTGCCTGGGAGCTGACCCGGGGCGGAGAGTCTCAGCATCCTGGGAGCCCCCGGAGCCCACCACCAGGGTTGGCTCAGAGTTGGCCCCATGCAGTGAACATTCGTCGAATTGCCTGGCAGGAGAGAGAAAGCACATGGAAAGTGCCCGGTCCTTCTGGTTGTCCACAGGAGAAGCCAGCGTGTACACACAAACATTGCATTTCGGTTCAACAACATTTATTGAGGGCCCATTATGAACCAACAGGGTCTCAAGCCCTGAGAATCTAGACGTGAATAAAACCAGATCCCTGTCTCCCTGAGCCCCCCAGCCTAGGGCAGAGGCAGGCACATGAGCCAACCAGGCCCCCCAGTGTGCTCAGATGGTGGTGGCTGTGTATGCACCCATTCCCACGAGGGCAGGACTGGGGAGGGAACACAGCAAGGGGCGGGGGGCGGGAGATGAGGAAGGAGTCACAAATTCCCACCCAAATCCACCCAGGCAGGTAAACAGATACCCCCAGACACACACGTAAGCACACACGCATGCACGCACGTGCACACACACACACTCTTAGGTGTATACACTGACTACCTAAGCATATGTAGACACAAATACTGACCCTGTAGACTCAAGCGCCTCACAGGCCATCGTGATTAAAGCCTGTTAGTGGTCCCCCAGTCTGGGGAGGTGTGCACGAGAGGATGGCCTGTGTGTCGGGAGCAGGTACCTGGGGCAGCATGGGAATCACTCCACCTTGGCCAGGGGATGGCCGGAGGTGGGCAGAGCTGTTAGTCTAAATCTGACAGGTTAGGCTGATTATTGGCTTGCTATGGATGTCAATCATCAGAGACAGCCAATCAGCTATAGACCAGGCCTGACACTCAGCTCAGTGGCCAGAAGTAGGGAATCGGACAAAGAGTTCACCTGTTAGTACTTGTGCTCCTTGGGGAGTGTGAACCAGGTAGGAGTCAGGACAGCAGGGTGGAAGAAGGGGAGTGCTGGGAGTTAGCTGTAGCACGCTCACATCCCTTCACTTTAGAAACGGCTCAATTCCCTATTTGGATTTTTTGGTATTGGGAGCTAACAAATGGAAAGTGTTTGGAGGAGCTCCTGGCACACAGTAGCCCCTCAGTGGGCAGTCATTCTGTTCCCCGCAAGACCATGACCCTGGTGTGTGCCTGTTTCAGCCCTGAGGAGGGGAGCCAGGGCTCCAGCCTGTAGGGGGTAGCAGAAGGTGAACCTGGGGACACGAAGCTAGGATTCCTGCCCCCCTGTGAGCACCAGCCCTCCTCCACCGCACAGGGCCCAGCATGATTCATTGAGTGAGAGATGGATCCCTCCTCCAGAGCTGCCTTCTGCCAAAACCTCACAGAGCTTTGTGTATTCCTTCCATAAGTGATATTTCTTTGCAGTAATAACAGCTTTTGCAGCGCTTTCTACCTGCCAGGCACGGTTCTCTCTACTTGAGATATAACTTAACAATCATATGAGATAGGGACATTATTTTTCACATTTTACAGATGCAGGAACTGAGTCCCAGAGTGGTTAAGTGTGCAAGGTCGTGCAGTGAGTAAGTGGCGGAAGCAGGATGGCACCAGAGTCCATTCTCTAACCACAGGGCTCTGCCACCTCTCTGGAAGGAAGATCTGATACTTTCTCCTCCTTCCCTGCCTTCTCCTTTCTCCTCACGAATACCCCACGGGGCCCTGGATAAGTCACTGAGTCTCTATTTCCTTCTCTGGGAAGGAGAAATTCCTCTCAGCCTGGCGACCTCAAGCTGTCGATACCCCTGCATGGCTTTCGCTGGGAGGAAATGGTGCCCTGGTGTAGTATTCTAGGGGGCAGATATTCCAAGCTGGGCACTCTGCATCTTGCCTCCTGGAGCAGGGCCAGGGTGGAGAGTCCTCTCTGAGCCCCATCAGCAGACTCGCAGCTGGGCTCAGAGGCCCCTGGAGGCCCCCTGGGAGGACTGGGGCTGGAGACACTAATGAGGAGGCCAGGAGAAAAACCCCTCTCCCTGGAAGTAAATTCATGCAGAGAAACTTATAAGCTGTGCATGCAATTTGCAAGCGGGCCAAGGCCCTCAGAGCTTAAATATATTCCTAGGGGCTATTTATAGTCTTGGAAAAATTAGAGTTTTCTGGGTAATGGGAGTGCTGCAGACTCCAGCTGGTCAGGGCCTGCCAGGGACTGGCAGAGAATAGAGTGGGAACCATGGAGCCTTCTGGTGAAGGGCTCCAACTTCTAGTGACCACATGCCCAGAGCAGACAGCCCCAAAGTGGGCTCCTGAGGTGGGGAAGGCATACCCTGGGGGGGCTCACGGAAGAAAGCCCAAACCCCCTTACCTGGCATTTAAGGCTCCCAAGTCCCCTTTAAATATCCCCCCCGCACCTCTCCCTACACAAACCCCTCCCCCAGCCACCCTTAGAACATTCTCAGCTCTCACATTCCTCTGCACTCTTGTCACACTCTTCCCACCTGGACTGCCGTTACCTCACTCTTCTCTGGTGAGTTGAATGCTCCCACCCCTCAAGGCCCCTGACGTCCCCATTCCTGGTCCCTGCTGCCCTGTCCCTTGCCCCCACTCTGAAGCCTTCACTGGAACGAATCGCCTACCCGTGGAGACCTGCTGTGGTGGACGCCGTAATGTGCCCCTCAGCTTCACCCTCTGGGCCTGAGGCACCCCTCCTTCCCTGGCTTCAGGAAACAGGGCCTCCTGGCTGCATCCCTCTCAGTCAGAGGGGGCCAATTCATCCAAAACCATGCCTCCTTCCCCGGCGCAGTAGATAGCCAGTGCTTGGTGGGGGGGGCGGGGCGTGTGGGGTAGAAAGGTCCTCCCTCCCTTTCCGCTGGCTGGACGATTCCAAGGGCCACTGCAGCTTCAGAGCTTCCTGGCAGATCAGCAGAAGCCACCTCGGTGCAGGTTCCCCCTCTGTCCCGTCCTGCCTCCCTTGCCCCCACGGGGGCCATTCTCAAGAGCTCGCTAATCTCCATCTTGGAGAATGCTTTCTGGGCAAGCCAGTTTATGACAGCTGGTGACAGAATGGCTAAGCAACCAGCCTGGGTGCCGGTAGAGATCAACCGTTCTTGGCACCCTGACCTGGGACGAGTTACCTAAGTTCTCCATACGATTGCTTTATCCATAAAATGGGAATAATGCTGAGGCAACAGTCTCTGGCCAGTCTTGTGAGGATTAAACGTGATGATGTACGAATGCGCCTGATATTGAGAAAGCGCTCAGTAGACATTAACTATGACTGTCTACATTTAACTTCTCTGAGGGTCAGGTACATTATTATCCGTGTCATGGGGTTGTTGGTGAGAGTCAAATAATATTGAGAGGCAAAGGGTTGCATTCTGTGCTGCCGGGACCTAATACAGACTCAGGGGTCCAGTTCCGCGGGGGCTTTGCCCACCTGGAGCTGTAGTCGGGAAGCCTGACCCTTCCCCCGACTGGTGACAATCACTGTATTAGTTTCTTATCACCGCTGTGACAAATGACCACGCATTTAGTAGCTTAAGGCAACATAGATTTATTATCTTACAGTTCTGTAGGTCAGGTTTGGGTCTCATCAGACTAAAGTCAAGGTCTGCAGGCTGTGGTCCTTTCTGGGGGTTCCAGGGGAGAATGCACTTCCTGCTCACTCCAGAAGTTGGCAGAATTCAGTTCCCAGGGTTGTAGGACCGAAGTCCCCATGTTCTTGCTGGCTCTAAAATGAGGGTTGATCCTATCTTTCACAGGCCACTACCTTCCTTGGCTGTGTTCCCCCTTCCGCCATCTTCAAGGTCAACACAGGCTGGTGGAGGACTTCCGACGGCATCTCTCTCCAACCGGCTTAGTCATCTTCCACTTTTAAGGACTCATGTGATTAAATGGGGTCCACCTGCATTATCTAGAATACTCTCCCCATCTCAAGGTCCTTAATCACATCTGCAGAGTCCCCTTTGCCATGTAAGGTGTCATATTCGCAGGTTCCGGGGATTAGAACATGGATATCTTTGGTGGGGGCTGGAGGGGAGGGCATTATTCTGCCTCCCCTAACCCCCCAGCGTGGGACAACGTCGATCCAAAATTCACCTCCTCCTCTTCCAGGGAGAGGTCTGTGCGGTTCCATGTGCCGCAGGAACCTATGGCCCCAACTGCTCGTCTGTCTGTAGCTGTACCAACCGTGGCATCTGTTCCCCCGTGGATGGCTCCTGCACCTGCAAGGAAGGTGATGTGCCTCCTTGCCCGCTCCCATCCCCCTCAGATGTACACACCGCCCAGGTGGGCTGCCGGCTAGGGAGTCTGGGCTGTCCCTGCCTCATCCACCCACACGCAGGGTCAGGGAGCTTAGAGATCAGGTCCCAGCCAAGGACACCCAGGCCAGGGACTTCAGTAGGAGGAGTGTAATAGAGGGGATCAGTTACAATGGTGTTAGAATCGCTGGGGGAGCATACGAGGGGAAGTGCACAAACCAGAGATCAGAAGTGGGGAGGGAGAAGCTGCCACCACTCCTAGGGTGGGAGGGACAGATGGAGGAAGTGGCATTCCAGAGCTTGGGAGTGGGGGCCACCTGGTGGGAGCTGGGGTGTGGATAGAGGGGCTGCGTGGCAGCAGTGGAACATGGGGAGGCCCAGCCCGCACCACCATCAGAGGCCCTGCCAAGGCCAACAAAGGCGTCTCTCCTGCTCCCCACCTCCAGTCTGTGGGCCAGGTCTCCCGTAGTGAAGCCCACCTGGGAGCCAGCTGAGGGGGAAGCCGGGGATATGCAGCTGCAGGGACCAGCCTCCTGTGATGCAGATCAGAGCCGGGGAAGGGGAGAAATGGACCTGAGAGCAAACAGGCCGATGACCAGCCTCAGAACAGGGAAACCAGCCTGTCCCAAGAACAAAGGGCCCTAAAATAAGCCTCCTGATCCCACCCCAGGCAGAGATAGACCTCCCCGTCTCAGCTGGTGCCCCGTCCCAGGTGGGATCATGCACCTGCAGCAAGAGCAGTGAGAGCCAGGAGGCAGGAGCCCCGCGGGCTGGCCCTAGGTCTCCTAACAGCCCTGCTGTGTTTCGGAGCCGACTCCATGTGGAATGTGTGTTCTACCCCGGTGATCAGAGAAACGGTGGTTTAGGGGGGAAGGTACAGAGCTGGGGGAGTAGGCAGAAAGCCAGCCGTGCCGGGCCCCGACAGAGAGGTGACAGACCCTTTCCCCACTCTCAGGGTGGCAAGGCCTGGACTGCACCCTGCCGTGTCCCAGCGGGACGTGGGGCCTGAACTGTAACGAGAGCTGCGCCTGCGCCAACGGGGCAGCCTGCAGCCCCGCAGATGGCTCCTGCTCGTGCACCGCTGGCTGGCTCGGAGACACCTGCGAACTGCCCTGCCCAGTGAGTGCCCAGCAGCCCTCTCCCCCTCTCCCGCAGAGGTGTGCAGAGAAGAGCACTGGCCTCGGTGGTGGGACCCCTGGATTCCGGTCTTGCATCTATAAAATGGCAAATACCTGGCAGGCGTAGCACCCTGGCCTCACTCCCCCCTTGCCGTGCTTGGTCAACGTTATTAATCGACCCTGGCACACTGACCTGAGCCCAGAGGCAGCCTCAGAATCATTCCCAACACAGTGCTACAGGACAGCCCTTACCAATCCCTCAGAGTGGCTGTTCCTCGATAATTTTATGATCAGGGTATGAGAGGGCAAAACCAAGCACTATTCAGTGATAGCCACCCAGACTGAATCACCGGATCTTAGTCTAAGAGACAAACACGTTAAACCAACCAATATATGATATTGTTGAATGAGGCCTGCAGTCCTGGGTTCAAATGCTGACTTTGCCACATCCTAACTGTGTGACCTTGAACGTGTTACTTCACCTTTCTGACCCTATTTCTCATCGTTAAATGGTGAATATAATGGAAACATCCCATAGATCTGCTGTGAGGATTAAGAGAAATGAGTGATAAAAGGCTCTTGATACCTAATGAGCACGCAAGCAGATGTCAGTTGCCACCATCCGTCTTCCCTAGAAACAAAGAATAAATTGGTCATTCTTCACATGTGATCAATGCATTATGATTTGCAGAGCGCATTCTCATTTACAATTTTAGTTAACAATCACTAACCACACCCCTTTGAGCTTAACCATCAAGAAGTAGGGCAAGACCGGGGCGCCTGGGTGGCTCAGTCAGTTAAGCGGCTGCCTTGGGCTCAGGTCATGATCTCAAGGTCCTGGGATCGAGCCCCACATCGGGCTCCTTGCTCAGCGGGGAGCCTGCTTCTCCCTCTCCTCCTGCCTGCCACTCCCCCTGCTTGTGCTTGTGCTTGTGTATTCTCTCTCTGTCAAATAAATAAATAAAATCTTAAAAAAAAAAAAAAAAGTAGGGCAAGACCATCACCCTCTCCTTCCAAACCCCATGCTTCTGTTAATGTAGTCAAAGAATTATTTGGCATGGCCTCATGGCTATGTGGCTCACCAGTGATAAAAAGTGCTCCCACTCCACTCCGGCCACAGTCTCTCTGCATCCCCGTGGGGCAGAGGCTCACTGTTGTTATCAAAACCCAACAGAAGTGTGTGAAGCTCTGGGAGTCTAGGTCTGATCGTTTCTCTGTCCCCTTCCCTCCACAGGATGGCACATTTGGGCTGAACTGCAGTGAGCGCTGTGACTGCAGCCACGCGGATGGCTGCGATCCTGTCACGGGCCACTGCTGCTGTCTCGCCGGATGGACAGGTACCCGCTGCCCCCGCTGCACAGCCCCCCCACCCGCCCCCAGGGCCTGGGAAACCAGGTTCTTGGTGTTCTACTTCTCTTGACTGTTCTTTCTCTTTCACTTCTTCTTGCTCCTTATGCATGCACATTTATTTCCCTTCTCTCCTCTGGGCCTCAGTTCTCTGTTCCCTACAGTTCAAGCAAACCAATTATTGAACACCTAGTATGTGCAGGCTTCGTTCTAAAGGCTAGGGACATACCAGTAAGAAATCAGACAGAGGCTAATACATTGTGAGCACAGGTGCTTAATCTGCATTCTCGGAGGATATGGTAGAGAGGGGGATGGGGACCTTCTGCTTAGCCCAGCCTCACACTCCTGGTCCCTTATATGTGTCTGTCAGCCTATCTCCTAAACACATGGCGAATCCATCCCACTGCCGCCATCCTGGTCCTCCAAGCACCATCTCTCAGCTGGCTCTGCCCTGGCCTCCTCCTTGGTCTCTGGGCCTCCCCTGTTGCCCAGCTGCATCCATTCTGCATATGGTGGCCAGAGTGAACTTCTCAAACCCCAGCTCCATTCACATCAGTTCCTGCTCAGAGTGCCTCAGTGGCTTCCCATGGCACTTATAGAAAATCCAAAATCCTTACAGTGGCCCAGGGTCCCTATGACCTGGCCCCCGCCCAACTCTGCCACCTCCCTTTCGCCCCCTCCCATCATTCACTATACTGCAGCCACCTGGGCCGACCACCTTCCTGACCCCAGGCCTTTGTGTGTGCCTTCTCTCCACATGCATTGCTCTTTCCTTTTCTCTGCACCTGATGATGCCCTTCACCATTACCACCCAGCCAAGACTATGTAAGAGTCCCTCTTATGAATTCTCATAATATCCTACACTCTTCTTTTTGCCATACTTACCTCCATTGTCACTGAACAGTCATTCGAGTATTTTTTTATTATCTGCCTCCTCAACTAGACCATCAGCTCTCTGGAGGCAGGGCCTTGCTCACCCCTGTGTCCACTGCCTGCCACCCACTGAGAGATGACATGGTGGTTAAGAACACAGAGCTGGAGCCAGACTGCCTGGGTTTGTGACCTGGGACGAGTCCTTTAACCTCTCAGGGCCCGAATTCTCCATCCATAAAATGCAGATAATTATAATCCTCGCAATTACAGGGTCATTTTGAAGTTTAAATGAGTTAATACCTGCAAGTGCTAACAGGGCATGGCGCTGTGCTCAATAAATGTAGCCCATGAATACAGGAAGTGCTTAATAATGCTGTGCTGGGTGAATGCATGCAGTCCCAAGGTGGTGGGCAGAGCGAGAGATACAGGTGTTCCTGGCAGTGTGCGTTTTCAGATAATCGTTCACACCGGGTTGCTGAGCAGCCTCTGTTTTCCACAACCAGAAAGTGTCTGAGCAACAGAAAGCCCAGGCATATTGCTTCCTCGGTAGCATCTCTGACCTGGCTCCCCTGCCCAGCCTCATGGTACAGAGTAAGGCTCATGCCCTAGTCACTGGCCCCCCAGATTCCTAGCTGGAGCCAAGTGGAAATCCGCTTTAATTTTTCATGGCCTTAATTTCAAGTGAGCCGATGATAAGATTTTAATGCTAGCTGGTGCTTAAAAATTCTGTCTTTGATGGACAACATTTCTGCAAGTCCTCTGCTGTTCTCATATAAAGCTAATTTTCCCAAATATGGTCCTGAAGTCATTTCAAAGGAGTGATTGATGTCCTGAGGTTTGTAATGGAAAAGGGGACCAAGGAGGGGAAAGGAGGGGATGCAGGCATAGGACCCGGACTCCCACTTGCTGAACCCTCCCCACCCACCCCTGCCCCAAGAAGTCTGTCCCTGACTTCCCAGCTCCTGGCATATTGCTCATGCCTTGGCTCAACAGTGGCTTTGCTCTGCCCTAAATATGTGCAGGTCTTCTCCCCTTGCCCACACAAACCACAGATTTTGACAGGTGCCATCATGTTTCATTCACTTTGCCCTGTGCATAGCAGGTGTTTAGTAAATGTCTATTGAAGTAAATTGAAAGAAGCTGGGCTATAACCATATATGAGTTTTTCCCCTTGAAGTGAAGGAACCTCCAAGGTGATCTACTCTAACCTCCTCAGACTACAGATGAGGAAAGGAGATGTCCAAGGTCTCGGGGCATTAGTGCCAATAGGATGGGGACATGGAATTGCATCGTAAAAAGGAGCCATCTATTCGTTCAATTAGCATTTATTGACTCAAGCAATCACCAAGTCCTTAGTTGGCAACTACCACGTATATCCAGCACTGTGTCAGGCCCAGCATTAAATAGCAAAATTCAGTAACAGCAATGGTCCCTGGACACCCATTATGTGCCAGACACCATGCTGGGCACCAGAGAAGCAAAGATAACCAAGATGGCATCCTGTCCACTAGGAGCACCAAATAAGGAGGGTCAGAAGTGTCAATAAGCCATGTTCCCTGCCTTCAGATTGCTGGCAGGGGACACAAGACTTATGTATGAAACATTCAAATAATAGGCAGGGACAAAGCTGTATGCCACTGACTACCCAATAGATGCTTGAATCCCTGGGCAGACATCTGGGAAGGCTCCCTGGAGAAGGAGGACCCCCTAAGCAGACCCTGAAGGATGTAGGCTGCTGAGTTGCTGGCCTCGTGGCATGGACTTGAGGTCATGATACATGGATTCTTAGCCTAGCTTTACCCATCAACATGGATGTGTAGGGAGTCCTGAAAAATAAAGCAGGGAGATTCCCTAGGGATAAGACAGGGAAGGCCCTCTGAGGGGGATTATTATCCCTATTTAACTAGGGAAAACAGGGCCTAGATAAGATAACTGGTGAAGCTATGTCTCCTCAGAAGCTGTGCTTGGAAGACCCTCCCACAGGCCAAGGGGCAGCCCCTTTGACCGCTCCAGTAGAACCGGGGCTCTCCATGCAGGGGGAAACCCTGGACCCTTCTCCCCACTCAGGGAGTGTCTTAAGTTCCAGGGAGTTCTTAGGACATATGAAAACCTCCAACAGGGGCCCCACTCCCACAGAACCAGGCCTAGAATATAATAATTGCCAGATCCTAAAAACAGTGAGCCCTTGCCACCACCTGCCATCTACATGATCACCTCGCAGCCATGGTTCTCAATCCCCAAGAAAGAGAACCCTTTTGGGACATGAAAACATTTTGAGGGTCCCACATGAGAGTAGCTGTAGTTTTAAATGTCTGTTGATTGGGAGAACACTCGATAGCAAAGAGCTGCCATGAATTCAAGGGGGCTTTTGCATGCATTGGGTTTCATTAATCACAGCAGGGTCTGCAGCGGGTTTAGGAAAGAGCAGTGTGACCTGTGTGCCTTGGTCAGACTATGTGAGCACGTGGGGCACAGATGGGATCAGAGGTCCCTGTCAGGTGGCAGGGTGCCTCCCGGGAACAGCAGAGTCCCTCGGCCCGCAGTCTGATCCTGGCTTTCTCACAGAAGAATTCCTTGGTCACAGCTCCTATGTTCCCAGAGAAGGGGAGACTTGAAGCTGTATCCAAAGCTTTGAGCAGCCTTGTGGTTCTAGCTTCCCCAGGCTCCCGCTGGGTCCGTGCACGGGGTTTGTCCGGGTGTTAGCCCCTTGAGCACCCGAAACTGCATCGGGCGAGACCTCCATCAAGGGGTGAAGCGTGCCGGCCAGATTCCCTCCCTCCACAAAGAGGCCTCATTTCTCAGAGAGTGGCATCGAAAGCCCTCGCCCTGCTGCCAAATTGAGATGTCACAGGGAGGGAGGCCAGGGAGGGAATGTGGGCACTAGACGGGAGCTGGAGGATGAGCAAAGCCCTGTTGCGGCCCCTCGCTCTCTGCTCTCTCTGGCTGCTCAGCCCTCTCCTCCCTTTCCCACCGGCTCGGGTGGGCTGTACAATTCCAGCCTGCCTCCAGATTGGTCCCACTACTCTCCTGCTGCTGCTCTGGCTGGCTCTCTCCGCCGGGCCTGAGAGTCTTCCTCCCTCTTTCTGTCTCTTTCCCATAATCCCTGTCCCTGTAACAAGGCAGACATGATTTTTAAACTAATTCTGCTCTTCTCTGAGCCTCTGATGTTCGCCTTCCAAAGCCAAGCCAGTTTCCTGGGCCCGCGCCTTCCGTTCGCCTAATGCATGTCAGACTGGAAGCATTTCTGCCCCAGAGCTGGGGCCTCCAGCCTCAGGCCTTTCGAAATTCCTTCTTAGCCTTCGGACTGTAATCACCTCAGTACATATTTGCTCAAAAAGACTATGTAGGCCTTCTTCCTCTTTCTTAATAGAGTACAAAGCAGTGCAGGGAAGACATCAGAGTGCATCACCTCCAGTGACAGTAAAATGTCATTTTGCAAAGTGTTGGTTTCTGTCATACACGTATGTGCACTTAAGATCTAAAATCCACGTTGCAGGGGCGCCTGGGTGGCTCAGTCGTTAAGCGTCTGCCTTCGGCTCATGTCATGATCCCGGGGTCCTGGGATTGAGCCCCGCGTCGGGCTCCCTGCTCGGCGGGAAGCCTGGTTCTCCCTCTCCCACTCCCCCTGCTTGTGTTCCCTCTCTCACTGTGTCTCTCTGTCAAATAAATAAAATCTTTAAAAAATAAAATAAAATCCACGTTGTGCTGAGGGCCGTGGTCAAAAGAATCTGAAGAGACCCCACCCGCCGTCTGGACCTGCACCCTAGGTTGGCTGGGACCCAAAGGACCAGTGGCTACTGGGCTAACATGGGTGGGCATGTAGCTCACTCCCAGCTGCTGCAGCCGGCCCCATTACAGCATTCCCTTGCCCCACAGTTGGTTTCTGTCAAGCCTAACATTGGATACCAGCGAAGATGTCAAAAAGGAAGGTGGCCCTTCATGACCTGGTTCCTTCTTGGTCCCACAATCTCATCTCTTGCCATACCTCATTTTGTCCTTTGTGGCTCAGCCACACTCTGCTGTTTTCTTTTAAGGCGTGATTCTCTCTCCTGCCTCCTAATTTTTGCACAGAGAGTTTCCTTTACCTGGTAAATTCCTCCGTGCCCCTTAGGACTGACTCACTTTGGGCATCACCTCTTCCTGGAAGCCCTCCCTGACCAGCCAAGCCTGGACTGGAGTTTTCGTCTACATTCCCAGATGCACTGTGCTCACCTCCACCCCTTCATTCTGCAGAGGGCCCCTTCCCATCATCCTTCCCTCTGACTTCAGTCCTCTTACCTCTGACCCAAATTTACCTCTGGCCCACAGGCATCCGCTGTGACAGCATGTGTCCGCCTGGTCGCTGGGGTCCCAACTGCTCCGTCTCCTGCAGCTGCGAGAACGGCGGGTCCTGCTCCCCAGAGGATGGGAGCTGCGAGTGTGCCCCTGGCTTCCGAGGAACCTTATGCCAGAGAAGTAAGGCTGAGCCCCCCACCCCACAGATGGCTCACCTTCCCCACCCCTTCCCTGTTGGAATAAGTCAGGGCCGGAACAAGTCAGTGTCAGCCCCCATCAAACCCCTCCCTTCTAGTCCCCTCTCTCCCTGCGCTGGCTTTTCCGTCCCTAAGTTCAGGGCCCAGCCTGGCTCCTCAGTGGAAACCGGACCAGACCACAGCTTCTCTCTGCAGGAAGGGACGGGCCCTCAAAGGTGCAGGGTGGGGACAGCTCTCCCCATACTCTTGAGAAGCCTCCCTTCATCCCCATGTGTGGCAGGACAGGTAGGCAAGCTGACTGGGGCCCCTGAGGCTGCTGACCACCATCTCCACTTCATCCCCAGTCTGCCCCCCCGGGTTCTATGGCCACGGCTGCGCCCAGCCGTGTCCCCTCTGCGTGCACAGCGGTGGGCCGTGCCACCACATCAGCGGCATCTGTGAGTGCCTCCCAGGATTCTCCGGAGCCCTCTGCAACCAAGGTAGTGTCTCCAGGGCAAGTGGGGGCCAGGGAGGTGAGGCATCCTGGGAAGGAAGTGGCTGGAAGGAGGGGCTGGGGGATTCTCATCATACTCCGTGGAGGCAGCTCCCTGCCTCATCAGGGCTCGGGCCTACCCTTCTGAGAATTGGTCACCACCAGGCGTGAGACGAAGCTATTATGCAGTTAAAGGAACAGGCTCAGAGAGGTTAAATGGCTTCTCCTTGGTCTCACAGCTAGGAAGTGGCAGAGCCGAGAAATTCCAACTCCAAAGCTGATGAAAAATGAAATTAGCGTAGGTGAGTTCTGCATAAGAAGTGTCCCCAAATGGCTTATGCCGAATGCCAAGTGGTAAAGGCAGAGGATGACGTGGGAACTCAGAGGGGACAGTTCTGGCAGGAGCTGGAGATGGCAGCTTCCCAGGCCTTCTCCCCCCCACACTCAGGCCAACATCGCTGATCCCTCATGGCACACTTTCCTGTCTCGGCGGCTGAATCCTTCGCAACGCCAACTCCAGCCAACCTCCACCACTCAACAGGACTCGGAAAGGGAAACAAAGCTCATTTGCATTGGTGTGCTGCTAAACTGGCTCTCTGTGGGGGAAAAGCCTTGCTTTGTAACATTTGCAAGCAAGTTCCATGATCTGAATGTCTCCACCATGGCTGATTCTGTGGTACCAGGGGCTTGACACGGGTCACAAAATTCCTGAATATTTAACAACCAGTGTGAAGGTAGAAGCTGGCTCCAGCAAATACTGCTGCTTATTGCCATCACTGGCTCAGTTAGGCCAAGGCGGTGTAGATTGGGGGGGGGGGGGGGCGGCTCCGTGCTGTTGCAGGCCTTCAGTGAGGCCTCAGCCTAAGAGGCAGAGAAGGCAGAAAGGCATTGTGGGTAGAGCAGACAGCTTGGGTGTGGACACCAGACTGTCCAGCAGTAGAGAGCGGCTGAAGGATGCGGGGGGCTGGGTGGGGATGGCAGAGGGAACTGGGAAGGGAGTCTGGGGCCCTCAGGACAGCTTAGAACACAGGGTTACAGAATTTGCACTCTCTCCTGTAAGGAGCAAAGAGATCTTAGACTAAGGTAAACTTAGAGCTAAAAGCAAATTCAAGGTCATCTGTGCAAGAATCTCATCTGGCCTGTATTTAAATGCTTCCACTGAGAGCTCACTACCTCCCAGGGGAACAGAATCTTTTGATGAATAATCACCACTGAGCTGGGCTGGCTTTGTAAGTGTATGGGCCGTTAATATGTATGAGTGGAAAGTTCACTCCCTGATGCTTTGAGGTCATGAGAAGTTTGGGCCCCAGGGAAGCATATGTGACAGTTTCATTTGCTTGCAGCCCTCCCAGGACAGTTTAATCATAACCTGACACATCGAGGTTTACTTATTAAACATTGGAGCCCAGCCGTCAATACAGATAGGCTGGGTCTAAATTAGGATCTAAGCAGCCCGAGGAGTAGGTCTCGGATCCTGCGATGTCTGATTTATCGCCCGCTGGCCTAATGAGTATTTTCCACATATAGATCTAATAGAGTTTGCTATTAATGGCAACTGCCCTGGTTAAGTCTCAAACCTTGTAAAAAATTGAACTGACACTTTCTAATGACCGGCTTTCCAGCGAGTTACAAATTACAGACACTGCTTATGCAGAATCATTAAACATAGATTCAATATAACCAGATGTTTTCTTTTCACCAGCCCCCTTCTCCACCGCCCCTCTTTTTGCCTCACTCTTGATTCAGCTAAGAAGTCGACCAATTAATGTATTAGACTGATCACATTAGCAGCTCTGTAGGTGAATTTGTCAGCCTTGTGTGGGTGAGAAAGACTTCAAAGATAAGACTGTCTTGTAAGAGAAGCTCAGAGCTGGTTTGGGGAGTATGGGTAGGTGGAGCAGCTCACCCCACTCCCCATACGGGGCCAGGACTGGAGAATGGGCTCCCCAAATCAAGCACCTCGCAGAGGTGGGGAAGAGGAGGCTGGGCAACCTGCTGTTCTGGAAGCTGAAGCTGGGACCTGAGCTGCAGGTGGCTAGGTGTGTGTAAGCCACCCTGGTAGGAGCTAAGGTTTTTGCCAGGGGAAGTACAGGGCCCCACTATCAGCCATCTCCCACCCCACAGCTGTCAACCACGGCCTGAGGCCAATTCAAAGATGAGGAAACAGGACGCAGAGGGGTCATGCAGTCTGCTCAAAGGTGCTTAGCCAGTAAGTGGCAGACCTTCCGAACTGTGTGACCTTGGGCAAATTACTTAACCTCTCGGTCCCTCAGTTTCCTTAAGTTAATAATAGGGAGTAATAATGAAAATATCTAACATTGACAGTATTACGAGGTTGACTGAACTACTATTTGTGAAGCACCTGGAACAGCGTCCAGTGCATATAAGTGCCATAGAAGTTTTTGTGGAATACATAAATAAAATTAAGACCCAAACCCAAGGCTTTAGACTAGAGACCCTGGTGTGCCATGCTGCCTTCATGATCTGTCCCAACCACTGATCATGCCCAGGAAAGGCATAGGGTGGACACAGATCCTAGGCTCCAACTGCCCACAATCTGACCATCTTGTTGGGGAAGGGCTGGCAAGGGGAGGCAGTGTGGCATAAAGGAGAGGGTGCGAGCCCAAGGTTTAAGAGAACTGGGTCCTGGGTACGTTGCTTTGCTTCAAGAATCAATACCTTCCCATGATCCTCCATGTGGCTCACCCAACTGAGGGCCTCGGGGGGTTCAAGGAATTCCTCCCCCATAACAGGAATGCAATGAAGCCTTCTTTGAGGATGGAGGGCTGGCTACAACTGGGCTTTGAAGGGAGAAGGTTGAACTGAGAAGAGCTGAAAGGGACAGGAGTCAGTGATCCCAGCAGAACCCACCACTGGAAGGTCACTGCTCCTGGGGCCTATTTTGGTATTCCATTTTGGAATACTTCCTGAGTGTTTGGTGTGTGTCAGGCACTGTGCTGGGCATTCGGACACAACAGGGAACAAGAGAGCCACGTGCCCTGCCCTCACACAACCTGCAGTCTAGAGGGGGACATTCAGAGCTCATCCTTCCCCAGCAGAACTTGAGAGTTGAAGGGGAGCCAGTTTACTCCCATACGTTCAGCCATCATGCCTGCTTTTTCCAGGCATCGTGGAGAACAAAGACATGGGCAGAACTCAGGCCTGGCCTGAAATCAGCTCACAAGTCACAGTAACAGAAGACCAGGGAAGAAACTAACAGAGAGTCTGGAAGTTCAAACAGGGAAATAGCTGCCCAGAACAGAGATGATGGGCGAGTCAGGATTAAGTTGTTTTAAGTGACATAAAAACCCCGAATAACTGGCTTGAAACTGACAAACGTTATTTCCCTTAAACAGAAAGCAAGAAACGATCCAGAAGTAGACCACTGGAGAATGGCAAGGTAGCTTACAAAGAGGTCAGGAGCCAGCCTCCTTCTGTCCTGTTGTTCAGCCATCCTCGGCACATGGCCTCCACCTCTGATGGAAGGTAGCTGCTTAAACTCCAGCCACCTTATCCACAGTTCTTATCCATAATCCACATTATCCTTCAACAAGGACGAGGAATGGACAAAGACATGCATTTCCACTTACCAGAGTGTAGTCACATGGCCATACCCAGCTGAGCAGGAGCCTCAGAAATCAAGTCTTTATTGCAGGTGGCCATAAGCCCAGCTAAAACTCCAGATTCTACTTCTAAGGAAGAAAAGACTGGATGATTGAAGGACTAGCAGCCTACTACAGGGGGATCACGGGGAAGGTAGCATTTAAAATGAGTCTTAAGGGCGCCTGGGTGGCTCAGTCGGTTAAACATCTGATTATTGATCTCAGCTCAAGTCTTGATCTCAGAGTCTGTGAGTTCAAGCCCTGCCTTGGGCTTGATGCTGGGCGTGGAGCCTACTTAAAAATAATAATAATAAAATAAAAATAAAATGAGTCTTATAGGCAAGGTAAGATTTCCACAGCTGGACAGGAGGGTCAGGGAAGCTCTGGAAGGGAACAGCTGGAGCTAAGTTCTAATAACATGGGGTGTTATTAGAAAGTGGTGTGTGGACCAGTGGCTTATGCATCTTGGGAGAGGAGAGAGGGGTAGTCACCAGGTGAAGTAGCTTAAGTGTTGCTCTTTAGGATCCAGATTTTATTGTGGGGCAGTAGGAGCCACTGAGGATGTTCGAGCAGGGCACAGAAGTGCCATGAAGAGAGCTAAGCTTTAGAGAGCTTAAGTTGTAGGAAGCAGATGGAGGATGAACTGCAGGGGAAATGAGAGGTAGGTGCTCAACTAACACTCAGACCTAGTGCTACAGCCACTTGCAGCCTGGTTGAGGAAACCAGCCCTTCCTTTAGGGACCAAGGGGTGACTCCTCCGGGGGGTAGGGGGTGAGAACCACAACCCTACAAGTGACTCAAAGTGAAATACCACAGGGGCTCAGTGGAAGACAGCACCTTGTGAGCCCAGGAGGGCTGTCCGGAGGCTGAGCTAGGGCTTGAGGAACAGGTGGGATTTGGAGAGACAGAGGAAATGGGTGGGCAGAGACAGTCGTCCAACAGTCTAACTGCAGGCCGACCTGCTCCCCTGCCCTCGTCCCTCTCCTTCCAGCTACAAACATTGTCCACCCTCATGCCTATGGGATCAGTGATGCTGGCAAGAACGTGGTAACGGACAGCAGAAGGCTGCGGAGCAGTGTGGGGAGCACTGGATGGAGGGCGGAGGTGGGATTCCCAGCCTCACCCGCTTCCATCTGTGAGGCCCAAGCGACTCTACCCCTCTGGGCCTCAGTCTGTGCCTTCAAAGGGGATCATTAATTGAGCCTCCAGAGGAATGCAGCTGTGGACACAAGAAGGGAATTCAACTGGAGAAGGGTGATGGGGCTGTGGAGGTGGGCAGTTCCCACCGAGATCTGGGAGCCCGGGGCCGTCAGAGCTGTGGCCTGGGAACTTCCAGGGGCGCAGCAGCTGTGGGTGGGCGTCTGAGGAGAACAGGTGGGAGGGCAGGTGCCAGGCTGTCCTGTGCCCACAGTGTGTGCTGGAGGGCACTTTGGGCAGGACTGTGCCCAGCTCTGCTCCTGTGCCAACAATGGGACCTGCAGCCCCATCGATGGCTCCTGCCAGTGCTTCCCTGGATGGATTGGCAAGGACTGCTCACAGGGTAAGCAGCTGCCCAAGGAATGCCCCCCACCAGGAGCCAGGCCCCAAAACACACCCTCCTCCTTGCCCAGAACCTCTTTTTTTGCCCCTGGTGCCTCCACCTCCCAGGACTGAAATCTCCTTCCACAGACAAGACTGTCCACCTGAGTCCCAGTTAGAGTCCCATAGCTGACGTGATGAGTTATTAGGGTTGATCATTGGCATTATTAACTGTTAGTATGAAAGGTACTGACATTGTTGGGAGTACCATTGTTACCCCACCGAGAATTAATACTCCATGAGCACCTGAGCAAGGAGTAGCCCCTAAGTTTGGTTGGGGAGGAAGAAGGGGCAGGGACTAGCATGCTGGGGTTTGGAAGTGGGGAAGTGAGGTGAGAGCAGAGCAGTCACCTCAGAGGGGTGAGGGCGTCCCCTGAGTGACCCATGTGAATGATGTCCTGGGCACATAAGCCTGGACAAGGCATTGTAGAGGCTGTTCTTGTGAGGTGTGCCCAGCCTTGTAAGGTGTACCCAGAGACCACATAATCTAAGGATGGAGGCTTAACCTCTGCCCCGTGGAGCGCCTTGTCTGGTGGGTGAGACAGGGACAGTACCCCTAGGGAGGTCCCAGTTAGATGGCCTGGCCTGAGGGAATTTCCATTCTGGTGGAGGAGACACAAGTGTCATCCTCAGGGAGCTCAGCAGCCGAAAGAGGGGAATCCCTATCCTGGGAAAGTCCCCATCGTCATGGGGAAGTTAACACACAGTGTTCACACTGTAAACTGCAATGTTTAGTTTACCACACCCACCCACACACTCCAAATCACAGCCAGTCCCCCAAGAAGGGAAGTTCAGGAGCCCTCAGAGCTGGGACAGTGGGCAGAGAATTTGGGCTTCATGGGAATCCTGGGTAAGTGGGCCAAGAGGTGAGTGGAGAAATTCTGGGAAGTGTGTCAGGAAAGCCAGAAAATACCAGCTGGGTGTATCATGGCATCTCGGCTGATGTGCCATCCCCCTTCCTCTCTCCCCCTTTCTGTCTGCTTCATTCTGCCTTGCCCTCACCCTGTGCATCCCACCCACCCCCAGCTTGCCCACCAGGGTTCTGGGGCCCAGCCTGCTTCCACACATGTAGCTGCCACAATGGGGGCAGCTGCAGCGCTGAGGATGGAGCCTGCCACTGCACCCCTGGCTGGACTGGACTCTTCTGCACGCAGCGTAAGTCCTGCCTCCCGGCCTACCCGCCATTCAGAATCTCATGCTGCGGCCTGCTGGCTGCCTTGGGCATCGTCCAGGCCGGTGGAGGGAGGGAGGAGGCGGGGCCCGAGGGTCCGGAGCTGCCCCCACCCCACCCAAGGAGTGGGAAACCTGGGTGGATTCAGGGGGTTGAAGAGCCCCGTGTCCTGGAAAGTCAGGGCTGTAAGGTGCTCCAGCAATCACCAAGACCTGAGCCCCTGGACAGTGGGGCCCAGAGAGGGAGGAACAGCCTGTGGCTACACGGCAGGCAGACCCCAGCCTGGCCTCTCATGCTAAGAAGGATCCCTCACAGCCACCCTTACCCCGTCGGCCTGAGCGTCCAGAGTGCAGAGACAGCTGAGGTGAGGTCTCACTGCTCCTCACCGTGTGCTCAGGAGAGGCAGCAGATGACAGTTTGGTCCCTGCTGTACCGCTGCAGTTGTCCCCACCCTGTTTCTCCAGGCTGCCCTGCAGCGTTTTACGGGAAGGACTGTGGGCGCGTGTGCCAGTGTCAGAACGGCGCCAGCTGTGACCACATCAGCGGCAAGTGCACCTGCCGCACGGGCTTCACCGGGCGACACTGTGAGCAGAGTAAGCTGTCCCAACCCCTGACCCTGGGTGTTAGTGCCGGGCATCAGCCTCCGGCCGGGGACGCCTCCGCCTTCACAGTCCACTCATTCAGGGCTCTGCACCTCCTGTTCCCTGGATTTTTGGAGCGGCTTCCAAGAAAAAAGGCTCAAGAGGGTCATGCCTACATCGATATTTGTTTCTTCCTCCAGTTGGGGGTTGGGGGAGGAATGGGGGGCTGCTGAGAGCAGAACAGACGCCTGAGGGGGTACTGAGGGAATAAAGGCAGTCAGATCTTCTCTAATGCTTCTCTGAAGCCTCAGTGGCATCCAGCTCAGGGCCTGGCCCGTGGAAGATGCTGCATACATGTGTCAAGTGAGGAGGAAGTGGAAGGGCTGAGGTGCTCTGTCCATCCCCAAGCATCAAACCAAACCACAATGGGAGCCACAGGGAAATAGGTTTTACTCTGGGAGTCAGAACTGGCTAATCATAGCTGGCCACGGGTGTGTCTCACTGTCTATTGCGTGTCTTCTTCATGCTACACAGGATGTGCCCCAGGAACCTTTGGCTATGGGTGTCAGCAGCTGTGCGAATGCATGAACAATGCCACCTGTGACCACGTCACTGGCACCTGTTATTGCAGCTCTGGATTCAAAGGAATCCGGTGTGACCAAGGTAATACACAGGTGGAGTCCCTAGGCAGCGGGCTCTGGAAAGGGCCTAGGGAGATTCCAATGGGAACTGGATTTTATAAGGACAGTTTGTGACTTCCCTTTTATTCACTTCTGGAAGGAGAGCAAAGGGGTGTGTTGCAGAGGGGCAGGCAGAGGCTCCAGGTACTGTGTACTAGAGGCAGTTGGAGCAGGAGCCTCTCAGTCATGGCTTCCCCATGCTCATCCTTGTAGTCCATGTGAGAAGGCCAATGGACAGTCGAAGATAGGCCCAGTTCTGGTTCTGCTAGATGTCCTGGGCAGGTCATTTCATTGTACTGAGCTTATTATTCCACATGCAAAGTGGGAAGAGATTAATCCTGGTCTTCCAGCACAAGACAAGGTTCTTTTGAGGGCCGAGGAGCCGAAAAGGGGCTCAACCCTGGCTCCAGCTCTACAGTCAGAGGACACCCCACAGTACAGTTGTGAGGACCAAGTTGAGACAATACGAGTAGAGGACTTGGCACAGTCCTGGCGCATAAGCAAGCACTCAAAAATGATTTTGTATACATAAAAACCCTTTGTGAAGTGCTGCAAACAAGTAAGGGATTGATTATTACTGTTGTTTGGTCTAGAAGATGGGGAATGAGAATGGGCTTTCAATTTACCCACGTTAACAGAAGGGGGGGCCAAAAGACATTTCCATTGCATTCTGATGATATAGCATGAAGAAGGATAATGCAGCACATTATTTCCCCCGAGGATGTTGGCTAGCTCCATTTGGCCAGTTGCTGATGATAGCCAAGGAGAGGTCTAGATGGTGCCAGGCAGCAGGATGACCTCCACGATGGGCTTAGCGTCAGCATGGAGTTAGCCCACACATATATCATCAAGAGGGGTTTTGTGGACAGTATTCCTGGGCACAAAGGCACACTTTCATTGCCAGTCTGTCATATGATGCTCACAGTTCCCTGCGGAGGGTGGAATTATTGTCCCCATGTTACAAATGAACAAACTGAGAACTTGGGGAGTCACACAGCTGGTAAGCAAGGAGATGGGCTGAGTCCAATTTTTTCCAACTCCCGAGGAACCTGACTTTACCAATTACCTGTTATATGATCTTGGGTAAGTTATCTAGCCTTGTGATGACTTTCTTCATCTGTGAAAGGGAAATAATTACATAGTCCCTATATTAAATGGCTGCTGGGAAGATCAAATGAGTGAATATCTGGAACTCACTTTTTAGAACAAAGTACTCAGTAAACATTCGTTGTTATTTTATTTGCCATCCACGATCACATTTGTTCTTTGTCATAACCTTGGAGCTCCATCCCCTGTAGGCAGTCGAAGAAACAGGCACAGTGAGGGATAGGATCACACAGGGATTGAAGAATAGGGCCAAAGACCAGAACCAGGTCTCCTAAAGTGAGGGGAGTCTAGGCCCTGGGCCAGGATCTGAAGAGCAAGCAGGCCTGCCCCAGACTCAGGTCCTCCCTCCATCCACAGCTGCCCTCATGATGGAGGAGCTGAATCCCTACACCAAGATCAGCCCAGCGCTGGGTGCAGAGCGGCACTCTGTGGGTGCTGTCACAGGCATCGTCCTCCTGTTGTTCCTCATTGTGGTGCTGCTGGGCCTGTTTGCTTGGCGCCGGCGGCGACAGAAAGAGAAAGGCCGTGACCTGGCTCCCCGTGTCTCCTATACACCTGCCATGAGGATAACCAGCACAGACTACTCGCTCTCAGGTAAGGGCTATGCCCCCAGCATCCCCTCTCCTACCCCTCCACACACACACACAACCCAGGAAGAGCCACATGATATCCCTGGGGACACCTGGGTTTACTGCTGAATGTGGGTGGTCAGGTTTGCAGGATTGCCTGCTGGGGCTGGATGCTCACTCTCTCCTGGAGAGACAATGGGGGTGGGGAGCAGAAGCCTACTTGGGAAAGGTAAACGGGGTTTTATGAGTATGTCATTTCCCAGATGCCTAGTTCTGAGCAGCTATGATTAGGAGTCTCCTTCCATTTCCCCAGAGCTTCCTTCCCATCGTTCTGACCAGGCTTTGGCCACAGGAACACCCACACTAAACAGTAACTTTCCTAGAAACTCTCCAGGGGAACCTCTTCCCAGCCCAATGCCTGAGCCACCCCAAGAAGCTGGCCCTGGGGCTGTTTCCAAGCCCTGTTCCATCTTTGCTTCCTTGGGGAAGGCCTCAGAGCAATCCTTCCTCCTAGTTTCCAGAGTTAGGAGGGCCCTATTAATACAGTGGAAGGGGATGGTGCCCGACTTGGGGTTGGGGGGAGAGTTGAAAGTTTGGGCAATGACCCAGTATATCCACAAATGTGGTAATTATCTCCAATGGGCATTCTGTCTAGAGTCTGAATGGGGTGGAGGTGGGGCTGTTAGGCCAGATCCTTCCTCTCTACTGAACCCTGGACTGCTGCCTTAGAAATGAAGCTTTGGGCTTCATATTTAGTTAAACAGAAGAGGTCAAAATGCTCTGAAATTGCCCATAGTCCTAGGCCACAGGACGCTGGGCCTGTCTGGGTAGGCACAAGGATGATCACTTTCTCCAGCTGGCTCCTTGCAGCCTCCAGCATCTTGGACTCAGAAAACCAAGATCACATCAGCCCATTCTTGCTAAGTACTGCCCACCATGTGCCCACTCCATGCTAGGTGATACAGGGTAGACAGGGGTGGTCCAGGTGCAGACCTTGCCTTCAGAGAGCTCCTGGCCTGCTTGCCTCCCCGGGTTTCAGCCAAAGCAAATATCCCCTGATGAAATCCCAAGCCCACAGAGTTGATTTGGGGATTTTCTTCTATGACTATAATAAGTCTGGCTGGTTTTCCCATACCACTCCACTGGAATTCCCCTACACTGTGGAGGGGTCCTAGAATCCACAAGAGGGCAAGACTGGGGCTGAGAGGAGAGGGATTCTCTTTATGGCCTCACTCCTGGGATAGATCTCTGGAGGGAGGCAAGGGAGGGCAGCACAGCCCTACGGAGCAGCTCAGGGACATATGAGGCTGTCAAAGCCAACACTCCTCATCCATGCTCTAGCTGCTGGGTGCCACCCTCTACACTGGCAAGCCTAACTTGTATCCTGCAGGGGGAGGGGGGCGGACAGCATGAAGGAAGAGGCAAATTAGGCTCTACAGATTTCTGTGGGGGTAGTGGATACCAGAAAGCTTGGGGGATGGGGGACTTAAGTGTCTCTCTTTGCAGAGCACTTGCAAGGCTGCCCAGCCCGAGTGTTAATATTGGGGTGTCTCATGCCAGGGACAGGGGTATGATGGTATGGCACCTTGTTCTCTTCCCAGATTTGTCTCAAAGTAGCAGCCATGCACAGTGCTTTTCCAATTCCAGCTACCACGCACTGGCGTGCGGGGGGCCTGCCACCAGCCAGGCCAGCACTCTGGACAGGAACAGCCCCACCAAGGTACCGGGCCCCTGACTCCCCAGCCCCTACCCACCGTCCTCCCAGTGAGCCCTCACCTCTGCCCAGGAAGGAACCACATCCCACATTGAGGGTCCATGTAGATCCAACTGCCAGTACATTAAACACAACCCCGTGACCCATGGGACATGTAAACACTCTGAAGCATTTAACAGGAAGCCAGCAGGTTACATGGAACCAACAAGTACCACGTAAGCAGCAGACATCACATGTAACCAACCTACAGCATCATTCAATAGGATATATACCCCCACACCTGTGTGTAAGGAATTGGTACCAAATCATGTGATCATCTCATGGAGCCTTCTTATCACATATAACCAGGTAGCCACTTTTGTCATATAACGTATGTCATCAAAACAGTACACCATCTCTTGACCAATCACTACAGTGCATTTCCAACACCATGCATGCAACCAGCACCTTAGAGAATAACCACTGGTACTCAGGTACCACCAAATGCCCTTATATCTGGCATACACATTATCGCTACATACCCGCAACCATATTTTGCAATCAGAACCACCACAAGGGACAGGAAACCCAAACATCAGCTATAGGCAATGTTCTCATTGACAACGAACGCTTCAGGCCTTCAAGGACAGGTGTGCACCACCCTGGACAGGGTTCTCCCTTCACAGCTCCCAGCATAACCCTGGCTGATGGCAAGGCCTCCTCTTACAATCACAGGCCCTTGGGCAAGGATGTTTCAGCACACGGTGTAGGGAGGGTGGGCCAGGACCCATACTGGGGACAACAGGAGGTTCAGAAATGTAAACAGCCTCAAGGACCAAGAGGTCTGACAGGCTCATGCTGCACACCTCCTGACACCTAGGCATGTACACGTGCACATGCACAGCAGGACCATGAGGCGGGCAATCCCAGGGCTCCTGGCCTCCTGTAACATCCTTCCTGTGTCAGGAACACGGACAGAAGCAGTTTTCATATTCCAAGCCTCTGCCCTAGAGCTCTGGGAATCCTTTCTCCCTGTCTGGCCCACAGAAATGTCCACTAGTCCACAGGCCTGGTGGCAATGCAGCTTGAACCCCCTAACAATAACACGGGCAACCACTCTCAAGCCAGAACCCAAGGCCACTTTCTTCCACTTGTTCTCAGCCTCAGCTTTCGAAATGGGAGTGCTGTATGCAGCGTGCCTTGAGGCCCCTATGCAGTCTGTGGCCCTAAGCCCTATAGCTTTGGCCCCTCTTCCTGTGTATCTCCTCAGCTCGGACTCTCATTCCCAGCTTCAGCTGTAGGCTTATCTGAGGAGCTGAAAGCTGAGGGAAGGGAATCTGGATTTTCCTCGTATGAGGCTCTTGATTAACTAGAGCCACATTATCAAGGCTGCAACAGGTTAGAAGCAAACAATGCCAAGGACAAGGCTTTCCCTTGCTCACAAAAGGGAGACTCACACACAGGCCAGGTCAGGTAGCAGAGGTGACAATGATGTGGCAGACCACCTTAACACCTCCCTTTGTGCTGGAGATGGCCTCATGTTGCATCTGAGACAGGGCGAGAGCCTGTTCCCCTACAGCTCAGTCCCACCTAGCTGACCTACTTCCCATCAGAGCCAGCCAGCTAGGCTCAGGCCACTTCTTGGCTCTTGGGCAGCCCTGCCCTACTTGGTCCCAAGGGCTGGGAACCCTTCAACTTCAGCCAGACAGCTAAGAATGGGGTAGATTCCGCTCCCACTGATCTCGAGTCATGCTGCAGTACACCTAGCTCTTCCTTTCCCTCAACGATCTAAGATGTAGGTGGGTCAGGATCATCATAGGGGTTGGTGCACAAGGCTGGGCAGGGGCACCTCGGAAGCAGAGGGATTAACTTACTCTCCTACTCTCCAAACAGCTCAGTAACAAGTCCCTTGACAGAGACACAACAGGCTGGACCCCCTACAGCTTTGTGAACGTGTTAGGTCAGTAGTGGTTTGAGTCTGGTCCCCTGTCATCATGTCCCACCTGTTCTCCTTTTTCCACATTGAAAGGGTCCCTGTCCTAGCTCCAAGGGAGATTAGTAGATGAATCCTGAGCATGGGTTCCCCCAGGAAGAAGGGGTTTTGGGAAACCCAAGCCCATGTTTCAGTTCTCATAAGCAAATGAAGCCCAGGACACCCTTCATTTCTATTAGGGGAGAGGGTGGCTATGACCCAGGGACCACAAAGGAGACAGCTAGGACCTGGATGGGGGGTTCCTGATGCGGGCAAAAGATTTATTCACCGTCTGGGAAAGGGACCCTTGCCTGAGCCAGGCCCTGCCAAGGTACTCCTTTCCAAGGGCTTCTTTCCTCTGTCCCACTGCCCTAGTGGGCACCAGTTCCTATTGGGGGCGGGGGTGGGGGTGGGAGGAGGTGAAGGAGAAAGGTAGATGGCTTCAACTCTAACAGATCCTCCTAGCCCTTGCCCCTTTGGATACTACACATCGGGGCCCTGATTCCTTCCAGCCTGCCCTACCCTGATCCCCTCCATACTCCCCACCCTGCCATACCAGGACCCTGGGAATAATGGCTCCTGTCATTCCTCTCACTAGACTCCCATTTCCAGATCAGTGCCCTGGAGGCCAGGTACCCGCCCGAGGACTTCTACATTGAACTTAGACACCTCAGCCGCCCCGCTGAGCCACACTCACCAGGTTAGACCCCCAGCCCTACCCTCTACCTGCTAGGCTCCCAAGGCTCTCATACCAGACCAGACCTACCCCTTCCTGCTCTTTGACTCACCCCCATGGTTCCAGAACGCTCCCTGAAAGGGCCCTCCTCTGTCCCAACATGGTTAGTCCACAAGCCCAATCCCCTATCTAAAGGAAGCTTGCCTGGATTCATCCCCCATCACCCTTTCTGCTCCCATCGTGGTCAGTGGATGTGGACAAACTGTGACTGGTATTAGGTGAAGGAGACACAGCATAATTGTACTCCCTATAGGCCACAGAATACAACCCTAAACCACTGAGAAATGACTTAAGGATGGGGACACCTTTGGGGTTCTCTGGGCCCTGTGGGTGTGGATGACAAGCCCAGTGTCTCCCAGAGAGAGACTCCAGACCCAACAGTGGCTCAGATCAAGCTCTCCCAGATCATAGGGTAGGGCTGTCAAGCAGGGATCCGGAGAGGTTGGGGTAGGATGTGTCAATCGACATCCACTCTGCTCTGTATTAGGCTCAAGCTAGTGGCTTGGGAAAGAAGAAAAAAAGGAGACTTGCAAAGTCAATCCTGCTGTGGGAGGATCTGGAGTTACAGAAATAGGTGCCATAGGAGTAAGCATAATGAATCAACAGAGATGTAGCCTCCCTAACAAGTGGCCTCTCTAAGGCAGGGCCTGAGTATACTGGATAACCCTTGGGCTCTAGCTAGTTTCTAGAGCTCAAGGAATGCAGCTCTGCCAACCCCTGCAGGTCCCTGCGTGCAGTAGCACCAAGAAGCATGAAGGTTCTGAATGTATCTGCCCACTGAGCAGCTGTGGGCTGCAAAGACCCTGAGTCTGTACCTAGGAGGCTGCGCTCGTGGCTGCGGGCTCCCTGGGCCATATCTAGGTCTTTCAATAACCCCACCAAATACAACCCTCAACCTTCCCAACCCCCCCTGCCCCCTCCCCCCACACACACTACCACCATGTGTATCTCTTTCCCCAAGGGAGCATGCTCCGGGCTCAGCCCAGATTTCTCCCTGCTTTCTAGATGTACACTCTACATGTAGCCAGAGCCACCACATGCTATCATCCTGTGGCTTACACTAAGGCAGGCTGGTGGCCAATGGAAGAGAATACTTGGGGAGATCTAGCTTCTAGTTCATGTGGTGTCGGACAAGTCACTGCCCCTCTTTGGGTCTCGGTTTCCTGTTTTTTTTTTTTTTTAAAGATTTTATTTATTTGAGAGAGAGCATGAGAAGGGGGAGGGTCAGAGGGAGAAGCAGACTCCCTGCTGAGCAGGTAGCCCGATGCGGGACTCGATCCCGGGACTCCAGGATCATGACCTGAGCCGAAGGCAGTCACTTAACCAACTGAGCCACCCAGGCGCCCTCGGTTTCCTGTTCTAAAAAAAGGAAAAGTTAACAGCCTAGCCTCCCTCCCTCAGGGAGGGTGAAGGAAGCCCTGGTCTAGTGTAAAGGGCTGAACTGATGCCAGGAATACAAACTGTTAATCATTTTTCTGAAGGGCACAGGTTACCTATAGGCCTTTTAGAAGAATAGCAAACTAGAGGAAAACTTGGACTGGTTCTGCCGTATCACTCAGTAATGTGGGGAAGGCAGGCAGGTAAGAATAGAGTCCTACAGATTCAACTTAGGAACTCTGTGGAGGAGGTATGGTATGGGGATATATCTAAACAGCAGTGGGGGGGGGCGCCTGGGTGGCTCAGTTGGTTAAGCGACTGCCTTTGGCTCAGGTCATGATCCTGGAGTCCCGGGATCGAGTCCCGCATCGGGCT